TCCTGTTATTCTCCACGATCTTCTGTGGAATCTCCCATCTGGACTTGGGAGGGACTAGCCCATATACTATGCAGATATTCCTGTACACAATGCCAGTTACTTGGTTGTGTTGTTCAGTGTATGCTGTTCCTGCCTGCATCTTACATCCTGCTACTATGTGTTGGACTGTCTCTGAGGCCTCTCTGCACAGTGTGCACCTTGGGTCCTGTCTTATGTGGTAGACCCATGCTTCTATGGATCTGATGCTTAGTGCCTGTTCGTGTGCTGCTATGATTAATGCTGTCTTTTAGTCCAGCCCTTTTTAGCCACTGGTAGGATTTCCCAGTGTCAGCCACCTCAGCTATTTATTGATAGTACATCCCATGCAGGGTCTTGTCTTGCCATGGCACTTCCTCTGCTCAAATTTATATATAAACATCTTCTGTACTTCTAATGCATACATTTCACTAAGATGGCTTAAGCACTATATTCACAACATAGTTGCTCTTTTGGAAACAAGTACAAGTAAGCTGACAAGTGCATTTTTCATCATATACTGACAGTTGTCATTAGGAATCTGAGAATATCTTTGGACCATTAGCTGTTTGTGTGAATGTGTATCCATGGGGTATACATTAATTAAAGTTATAGCTAGGAAACATTTCACTTTTGACAGATAGATAGGTGAGCAAAAGAAATGGCTCAAGACAGGTGAGCAAAAGAAATGGTAAATCTGAAAGAAATGTACATTAGTAAATCTGCAGCCTAATTATATGAATGTTTAATCAGACCTAGATTAATGCTTGTTGCCATGATGGCAAGTATGCAGCTTGCAAGTTCAGGGGAAATGTGCCATGGTATTTCAAACAACAGGAAACAGCAATTTCTATCACATGCTGCTTTGAGGACTTTCCATGAAATATCTGGCCTTATCCAGCTAGGTGCTTATTTCCATGTAAATATACCTGAAGTAGTTAATAATTTGATGTCTGTTTGTCCTTTCCTTTTTTTTAAATAATAACTTTATTAAGTTTTGAGAAAAAAAAAAAGAACTAATGAGAACTAATATTAAGAAAAATAAAAGAGAGAAAATAGTAAATATTAAAAGTAGAAAAAGAAAAAAAACAAAAAGAATTTATTTCCAATCCTTCTCACTACAGATATAAGTAACAATATACATCCAACTCTTGCTCTAAGTTGTCTGTGTGTCCTTTCCAATGAGAAGTTCTGGAAATTATTTAATTGTCTACAGTGTAAAAAAAATATTCAAAAGGGAGATAGCTTTCATATTCCTTCAAATATCTGTCTTTCTCAGTGGCTTGCTTGTCAGTTATCTTGAGATTACAGAGGCCCTTTGGACTGATTTATATTGGATTTCATTAACAGGGAATAGCAAAGACAATTCTGGTGCAAATATTTTGTCCATCTCAAGATCAAGCAGGATGCTCAAAGGCACGTGTCATTTACATAGAAATACACTTAGTGAACATAACCTTAAGGAAATTAGAAAAAGATGCAAACCAGGATAGCAGTTGTTAAACACACCATAAAATGTGCATTGCTTTGTACTGTATCCAAGAGAATGTTATTGTTCATATTACTCATGGACTCTGAAATTATGCAAATTTACTTGGGAGGCGAACCCTGTTAAGTTTCCCAAAATTTACAGTTGAGTGTAAAACTGCAGATTAGACACACTTGTTTGGGAATAAACCCAATAAGGTCATCCCTAAAATGACCTGGAAAGTTTTTCACAAAATCCAGTAGCTTAATCCACAAATTATTGCTTGTCCACTGTATTCTATATCCTATATGTTAATCATTCCACATTTTCTTCAGTATATAATATCAGTTATCAGTTTGAGCTTCCATAAATACACGATACATTCTATTTACAATAACCAATAAATGGGAGGGTAGGTGGATTCATTAACCAGCCATCCACAGCATAAATGGAATGATGACAGTAGGAAGAGTGGTAGAGGGTCTCAGACCCAGATAGAGTATAGAAATCAGTCCCAGCAGCACCGAAACAAGTACACTTCTCTGGTCTCTAATGATCATCTTCAGCGTTTCACAGAACTGCAAAGATAATAGAAGAGTTTAGAATAAAAAATTAAAGATGTTCCCTCCCTTGCATGGGAGGAAAAGTTTTGATATTTGTTTCATGATTTGTTTAGTATGACCTCCATGCAATATAGATGGATTATTTTGTAATGCCTTCTTGTAAATTACTTAAGGATATTGCATGTAGCAACATAATATACAAAAAACAGCTATAATTCATTGTATATTGATCTAATGGGAGTTAGTAAGCTATCGTGCTACATGATCTGAAAAATAAAATAAGCACCTACTGTGACACTACAAAGGATTTTGATGAGAGAAGGCCCATGGTTTAATGATATTATACATAGATCACATATTAAAACCTAAGGTTTAAAATCTAACATATCTAAATTTCAGAATAGCTGGGACAAGTAGCAGCTCTACCTAAAAACATAAAAGAAAGATATTAAGAGTACATGGCACACTGAAGTCAATAGACCACTGGTATATTTTGGTATTAGATAACTTCACGTGACTATGTACTGCTCCATCAGTTCAGTTAAAAGAGTTGCTACTCCAAGTCAGCACTTTAGCTGTGTCAGTTAAATGCGCCTCTACATTATTTCATAATGGGAAACCTACATAAGACAGGGTTCCTATCAGAGGGAAGTTGGTACTTGGCATTCACTTAAACATGGCAACAATTCTCCATGGATTTTAGAAATATGAAGTTAAAGGAATTCAGAGCCTCAAGCCTGCTTTGGGAGAGCCTGGATGGAGCTTGCCTATATGCCCTCATCCCCTCACTCCTTTAGCATTTGCACGTGCAGGTTGAAGCTCTGCATCAACCTGTAGAATTTACACATTGAAACAACACATGTATTATAGGCCTTTCCCATCAGTTCTAGCCAACATAGCTAATGATAAATGATTATGGGAACTGTACTCTAAAATGTTGTTTTTCCCCCTTGGAAATGGGATGGTATAAACCTTTCTTTTAGCTTTCGTGTGGGTTCTAGCTCATTCTTGTCAATTCTAATGCATATCTCCACTGGGCAGCATCCACCTTTCCAGCAGTTATGTTTTCACGTATCTAGAATTTTGGTAGTTTCATACCCACATGGGGGAGGTCATGGCATCATGTTGGTGTTTGTGATGGAAGACATGAGCGGAGAGGATTCTGGAATGGAGCTTCAAGGTTGCCGGGAGGAGGAAGAGAGGTTCCAGGGAAAGCACCTCCTCAGGCCCCAACCAGAGTGTGGGAAAGTCAAGAGAAGGAGACTGGCCTCTCCTTAAGGGCATTGTGGTTACAGTTGCTGTTGGGGATTAGAATGAGTCTGGCAAGATTCTGTCTATTAGGTGTAAGCTAATAAAGATGCTGAACTGATTCTGGACTGTCTCTCTGTTGTTCTTGGGCTGAACCTGACATCAATCTCGCCAGACTCATTCTAATCCTCAACAACAGCAACTATAACCACGATGCTCTTAGGGAGGGGCTAGTCTCCTTCTCTTGACTTTTCCACACTCTGGTTGGAGGCTGAGGAGGTGCTTTCCCTGGAACCTCTCTTCCCCCTCCCGGCAACCTTGAAGCTCCATTCCAGAATCTTCCCCGCTCATGTCTTCCACCACAGTGTTTAACTTGATTCTTGCCTCCTCTGCTTGAATATTGGAAGTGTGTTTTGGCTGTCAAGTCTAAGTGACTGCATATGTTTCCTTGTCTGCTTCTTTTCCGAAACAAGGTATGGGTTTGGTTTTCAATATGAAAAGATGAACAAAAACTTCTCTTGTATTTTCTTTCCTCCTTAGGGACTATAGGCAATAATTTATTGTTTCTTCACCAAAAGCTTTGGTCCTGCTCCAATGCAGGTCAGAAGAGATGTTGTCTTCCTAGAGGGTTGCCATCTCAATTGCCAATACTGCTCATGTCAGTTCTGGAGATTCTGACCTCCCAAATCAGCCTAGCTTTCCAGTTGATTGGATTATTTTCCTGGCATTGTTTTCTCTGCTTTATTTGGCTCTCCTCCTACGTCAGCCATATGGTCTCCTTACCTGTGGGCTTTTGCTAGTTTACCAGTCAGAAAACACTGGGTGGTGCTTTCGCACAACTCCTTCCTTCTTTCTTCCAAAATGTAGCCAGCATGAAAGCAACTATTTCTTCTAAAAGGCAGAGCATAAGACTGAACAGTAGGTGTTTCCTTCATGCAACAGGAAGAACTCTTAAATCCTGCCTTTTAGTTAGAAAAGTTACAGTTATCGCTTTCCAGTCACATCATCTCTGGTGACTGAGAAACTGAGTTCTCTCCATCTTAAGCAGTTTATTATAAACTTATTGAAACTGTATTTACATTTTTTGTTATGTGAACAATATTCAATATTAGCACCAATTAAATTCTCTTTTCGTTTCACAGAAACTTGGCAAATCTAAATGTCTTTATTGGCATTTCACTCAAATTTAATATTTTAAGTGATTGAAATTAAAGCAAAATAACCTTTTTTCATTCCTTGCTTACTTTCTTCACAGACATGAATACGTGTTCTATTCTAATTAACTTCCCAGAAACATCACCTCCCCTAAAAGAAATTATTTGCTTAGGACTTAAATAAATATGACATGTTTCCTTTCACAGATTTTCCTGCCGCATCCCTATACAATCGTACCTTTCTTTCATTTTGAATTATGGAGAGATTTTGCTTTTGCTCTTAATATTTTAACAAAGCATTCTCCTTACATCTTGAGTTTAGAGGCATTCGATTAGAATAAGTGCAGCACAATAAGAAAACAAATAAACCAATCCTTAAATTTACTTCAATTGAAAAGCTGGACTTTTAAACTTTTTGTAATACTAAAGCCTACCTCATTTCTTTGCTATTAAAGGAATTAATATTAAGCAAGCTAATTAAAACATGGGCGTTAACAAAGCTAGGTTAGATTCAAACCTAGATTGAAAGTTAGATTAAATGGGTGATGTCATGCTTCAGAAGGCCATTTACAAGCTCTGCTCTAAAATGTTAATTTTATAAATGAAAATGTTTCTTACATTAAAAAGACTGCCCCTCCTAAAAGCATTTCATTATGATACTGAAGAACTAGGAACCAACAATAGTTTTGATAAGGTTTTAAAGGCTTATTAGAAATGAACAAGAGACAATATCTGCATTACACCCCACTTCCTATATCAATAGGTTTCATTCTTGTTAGATGGAAAGGCACATCTAAAACAGCAAATCCCACATGCCATTAAGAGTCTGGGACGATCTGTTCTGAAATGATCTCCCTCTTGCAGTAAATCTTTGATCTAAGAGAAGGGAGGAGACCAGAGTGTTTAAAGCAATGAGTTGCCAACTTTCAGGGAGAAGTAACTCAAAAACCATTCTACAATGTTGAAATGTTGTTAAACCATGAACAGAGAGATGTTTTTATAAAAGCAGAGGCAGTTTTGCACCATTCACTCTTCTAGCTGTGAAGTGAGAAGCAAATTTCACTTCAGCAGTAGATACTCCTATTAACATACCATGAGCAAAATAACTCTCTTCCTGGGTCTGCATTCAGACAAGGAAGTTGAATGACTAAAGTTGCACCAGTATCCCCGGGCTTCCTCGGCAGCATCAACTCAGTTCTGCCCACTTTCCAGATCATTTGGTGGCTATCCATATATTAGTCTTCTTGGGACAAGCAAAGAAAACTGGGATTTGAATCTAATAGGCAATATGAAACATGTTATAGCCTTTTATGATCCATTTATCTAAGTGGGTATCAGTTATTAAAGCCTAAGAAAGTTTAAGAAAAGTTCCCCTTTCCTCCACATCCACCCACTCCAAAATCCCACTCACATCTCTGTTTTAGAAAAAAAGTCTAGGAGAAAAAAAATGCTTTTTAAAATATATTATAAATAAATGTTCATAAACATAAGCCACTTGTTCTTCTCACTTCCAGCACATCATAATTCAAAACAAGGACTTGGCCCCCCACCCTTGTCAGAGGTTATTTGCACAGTGGCAGTTTACCTTGGTTGTCTGGAAGCTGACTGAAGAACCGTATCTGCAAAAGGTCACAAAATGTTCACAGTTGTTCCAAAGTAAGCTGTATTCAGTTGTGCCTACCAGGCTTTTTGCTCTGCAGACTACTTCATCATTACAGAGGATACCATTTTTGAAAAACCTATCTATGCTGTTCACCAGGATGGGGCCTCCATAGGCAAAGTCCTCCACTGTGTCCACACGGATCCTTGCTGTTTTTGTGATGGCACCTAAGATAAGTCTCTTATTAGTCACTACTTTCTGGATCAGCTTCTGGTCATTCGTGAGAGCAGGCAGAATGTCTGGCATAAGATGTGCTACTTGGTTATCCCCCAGATAAATGCCAAAATGAATGAAGAGAGTGCGAGGCACTTCTAGTAAATCTCCTGGTTTGAAATAGGTGGAGTCATAACAACGTACATGTTTTTTCTTCTGTTCCTCCTCTCCCCTGGAACCTGTTCCCAGAGCTTTAAAGTTGGCAAGCAGAAGTAACTTTTCCAGTAACAGAGATGCTATTTCATACATTGGGTTTTTCATGATTTTTTTTCTTGCGGTAGTAGCTGCTCCTGATTTATTCTGCTTTGGTCTCTTTTTAGTATGGCAAGTTGGGCCATCCCACACACTGCATCAGTTCTGATTGGTAGACAGGCAAGTGGGCAGTTACTGTGGAGCAAAATAAAGTGGCTCTTTTAGAAAAGTTTTTGTAGGAGCCCTTATTATTTGTTGGTTATTTAACAAGAACATTACCTAAACCAAGTATTTCTTTCAATGCAAGTGCTGACTAAATGAACCATTTGGCCATTGACAAAGATGTCTGTAAGATATGCCATAATAATAATAATGATGATGATGATGATGATAATGATGATAATAATAATAATAATAATAATCCATAATGATGATGATGATGATGATGATAAACAACAACAACAACAACAACAATAATAAGGCTTCTGATGCAAATGTTGTATTATGATTTATGAGCCCAGCTTCTGAAATAATTTGAGGAAAATATTTACAGACCTTGGCTGAAATCCAGTGCATATTTACTGGAGATTAAGTATTGGTGAATTCATTGGGACTTACTTGCAAATAAATACATTAACTACAGCAATCAAGTGCTCCTGTATAATACATGGAAATTAATTTCAGTGGGATTTATTTAACAATGTCCCTGGCTTATATTTATTCTCTAATAAGAACATTTAGGGCTGCAGTCTTAATTTTGAAAAAAAAAATACTCGTAATGTATTAGGTAAAATCACTATAAGTGTTACTAAATAAAACATTGTTTTGTGAGATGTATATTAGACATGGGTCTCTTTACATGATATTCAAGATGACCAGTTTTTACTACAGAACTAAAAACAGACTTGCCAACCTATAAATATATAATTAAAGGCATGAATCACTTGAAATACATACAATCTTAAAGTAGTCCTTAACAATAAGTTGCACATGGATTTGCTAGACTATTTATATATATATATATAAATATAGCATCTGAATCTTTCTATGCCATTGTGTAACTCCAGATTTTTTGCTGTTGCTGATGAAATATTCAAGGCATATGTTAACATGCATGGATTGGGACTTGTTGCTTAGTTTAAGAAGAAACTTAATTGCTAGCTTTCAGGGTGATACCTGGGAAAGTCTGATATTTGCCATCATCTACTCATGTGCTTAAAACTGCCAGCTAGGAAATTCAACAAAACATGATAAAATCAGTGTTTGCAAATGGATCTCATGTTGATCCATTTATACAAAAGTCTCAGTCTTGTCAAAAAAGTACCTCCGGCACTGGATCAATGAAAGCTTCTGCCCTCCACCCCCAACCTGGCTCCCATCTGAGGCTCACAGCAAGAGGATCTCTTCAGCTTCCCCGGGGGCTGTAAATGCTGATGGATTGGGGCCATTCATCTTACCTGGAAAACTTCAAGGCTTGAGATCCTGGAAGAGGGGGAGACGCCGCCATGCACAGCCCCCTCATTCTCACAATCAGCCTGTGGCTTTTTTCTTACACAGCTCCTGGCGGCCAGGCTTTCTTTGTTTAGTTCGCCAAGTCTCCCAATCCAGTCTTTTGGGGGTTGGGGGGAGAGGGAAAAAATGGGAAGTGTAAAAGTCTTTCCGAGAACCTGAAGGAGGAAGGAGGCAGGACAAAGGAAAGGGGCGGTGTTTTTTACATTCAAGTAGTTGGGGAGAGAGAGAGAGGAAGAGAGGGAGAGAGGCTCCTTTTAAATTGTACTGTATAGCATTTATTGTGTTTACATAATGCAAGACCTCTTTGAAACAATTTAAAGGAGAGCAGAATTAATCTGGCACCGCTCTATCTTTTTACAGATGAGCGAGCAAAATTTGGCTTCTGTGGGAGGAGTTGAACTTATCATCAAAGATCTATCAGAAGGCAATATTTTCATGTTTAAGTTTTTTTCCCCACTTTTGGATGGATTGAATCTGTGGCTAAGCAGCCCAGTGGCATTCTTAATACATGCTTGGCGAGACGAGCCTTGGACTCTCCTAATACTAGCTATCAACACTCAACTTGCGACTGGAGCTCATTGGATTCCAGTTATTCATCCTCCTTCCCAATATCTTCTGGAACTAAATGAGAGATGCTGGAGGACATTTTTTAACTTACATCAGACTGCATACCTGCCATAGGTTTGACCACAGCAAACATACGATGGCTGTCTTTCTACTGATAATTAATATTAAGTTCCATCAGTAAACTAATGCTTCTTCCACCATTATGACTCCCAGAGGCACATAATCCTCTGGACATCGGGTGGGGGGCGGGAGGAGAGGAAGGAAAATGGTGGGGGAAAATGGTTAACCTGATACAGCCAAGTAATGCCAGCAAATGATTTATTATTATTATCAAAGTCACACACTTTGGAAAGTGCCACTCAGGCATCATGTGGGCAGATGCTTCTTGGAAGCTATGTGACCAGTCTCTCCAGTCAAAATGGCTATAAGGTTCCTAGTGACTAAAAGAGAGGGGGGTTGCCCACAGCAGTCTAAAGTGGCCAATAGAAACCAGGCAGATCCCAACCTTGATTGCGTCAGCAGCCACAGCACTCAGAAAATGCACCAGAGAATGGCCACATCCAAACAGTTATGGATATGAATTTGGATTGCACACTGGTACAAGATGGAGCAGAAAGTGCCTGGTTTCTACTTGCCTAAACAATGTGCCCTTGATACACACCCAGAGCAAGTATGTTTGGTATTCTAATTTGGCCAGCACACCTTATACTACACCAAGGGTTGTGATTGACTGTTGCATTATGTTCCTTTGCATATATCACAGGACATGTGCAAGACCTCTGCCAATCAACACAATGGCCTTTTCAAATTTGTGTTCTGGGCTCTGATTATCTTGTCAATGGTACAACCTTCAATCAGTAGTCCTGTTGGCCCAGCATCAGTAATGGGTGCAAGCTTCCATGAAGTATTATATGGTGTGCTGTATGAGTCATGCCTTATAACCATCACTAAGGTACAGTGAACTCCCAATGTCCCTCATTACTAGGATTTTCTGCATAGCATGGCTTCCTGGGCTGGAGAGTGCTGGTGGCCCAACAAGGTTGAGATTGTGTATGATTGGTCCTTGAGTCAGACCATGCAGACACAATGTAGCTGCCTTCCCTTTTCCTCAGTCTACTAATCAGTCTGGGGGATGGGGAAGGAGGTCTATGGCCCACAGGTGTGCACAACATTTAAGTGGATCAAGGAGTGCTTGTATAGATTCCTTTGGGAGCACAATGACAAGCCTCTGCTTGCTATCAGTTTCCATGATTCCAAGCCATGAGGAGGCTGTGGGTGGTGCAGCCACCCATACTGGGAGGACTAGCAAACCACAGATATTCACACCAGCCCCACTCAATACTCCTGTTGCACTATGATACCATGTGGCATGCTAAGCCCTTTCTATTCTATGCCATGAGGCAATATGGGCTTTCTGCTCCCAGAAGTCTCTGCCAAACCCACATCAAATCATTCCCTTGGGGTATTTTCTGCGCACAATAAGAATGCTGGTATCACATTGCCCTGTCCCACCAACTGTAAGCAGGAAGCCAAGATGTGTCTCAGCCTTTCACCTTTTCCTTTGTCTCCTCCACTTCGTCAGGCTGCAGGAGCACATAGAGACAATGATCTGATGCTGGGACATTGAACAAGCAAGCCAGTATGCCGTATGCTTCACACCATGGTGGACAGAGTATGGTGAGTGGCACTCTTCACAGGCCATAGACCTGCTCCTTTCCCTTTCCAGCAGACATGAAAGATGATAAAACCCAATTGCCTTAGGTGGAGATTCAGTTTGCTCCAAAGACAACAGGTTTGTGTCTCAAGTCTCCTTCACTTACACAGAATTCCTTCATTGAGTTAGTTCTTCCACTTCCTGCCTGAATTTTTAGGTTCCATTATGCTACTAACACAGAGTGATGCTCCACCAAGGCCCATGGAGGCCCAGCCTACCAATGCTGAACCCCAGTCAGCAGATGACCATTATCCTCACTCACAGAACCAGGTATACTATTTGTTCTGCACCAATATCAGTCGAAGTACTGACAAAATACCCAGCTGGGTCCCAATTGAACCTCAGGCAAAGAAGATTCAGGAGTTCAAAGGTTAAGAATCCTTTTTGTTTTCTTAATCACAATGCTATATGTAGATCTCCCATGTCAACTTTGCCCTCTCACACTGCATGCAATCAGCAGTTATTTGAGCATTGTTTTTTCACCTGCAACCCCCTTCTTCCCAGGCCAGGAACAGTGCAAGGACCATAAGCAGGAACGGGGACTGTTTCTACTTGGGAGCAATATCACACCATGCACACTGTGTATGGTCTGCTCCTTTGAGTCCATAGTGCTCTGATTTGGCAGATGGGTGGGGGAAGTCATGCCATGGTGACCCAGGCCTTTAACCACATGGATTGCCAGCAGACAGAATATAGAACACTTGTCTGGCAAGTGGACGGCTTGATCTATTATTTGTATGGGCGTATGAGTTCTGGGTGAATAGGGAGCAATGATGATACTGTAGAAACACTGAGTAGAGCATTGGTATACAGAGATGCAGGCAGACTAACTGAAGGTAAATCATCAGATTCCAGTGGAAGCAGGGGATCCCAATTTGACAGGGCAAGATCAGATCAATCCCCAACAGTAATGCTGAATATTTTACATGAACAGTACATTGTATTCCCATTAATTGATCATTGCATTGGCTTGGCTTGCGTATTGTTCAAAGTCACAGCAGATTTCTATCATGTCTTTGGGTTAAACAGAACCCTAATATTTTGCTGTTTATCTGGTGTGCATTTCAACAGGTTCTTCAGGCACAGTGGCACTTTTCCAGCCCATGAGAACCACCTTGGATGCACTATGGGAAGCACATGATGAAAGCAGGGATGGATTTTGAGGGATGCCATGCCCGTTCTTTCAAATGAGTATTTGACTATGGCACGTGGCTATTCTGGCAAGGAGACAAAAGAAGAGAGTGGACATTTATGGCACTTGAATGGGAGTGCTGCTGCTAGGCTACTTCCCCACTAATAGTAGATCTAAAATTAGCCATCAAGAATACACTTATTCCTGTCCACGCCTGGTACAACAAATCGTCTCTGTCCTGGCTTTGGGTGTGGCTATGAGGTGGTTACTGGATGAGGGAAGTGCACATTTGGGGGCCTTTCTTGCTGGTGGTAATAGAGACTGATGGCTTGGCATGTCTGTGATCAACTCCTCAGGTGAGGTGTAGTCCACCAGACCACAGGAACCTGTGGGAATATGAAGGTCACAACTCCATCATTTTGTGTCACTTGGGTCTTGACCTCTCCCTGTCCCTGCAGGCAAGACAGTCCTCTACATGTGGTGGGACACCTGCTACTTGGTAGGCTGTGTAACTGCCCTCTGATTGTTCATATTTGGCTGTGCTGTTTTATGTTATGGTGCTGGTGACAGCTGCTTGCCTGCCCAGCCAGGGCTCTATCAAGAACCTATGAGGTGTTACTGCCTACAGTGGTAGCAGTCATAGGCCACTGAATTCCCCAACACTGATAGCATGTTGATGAAGCCAAATGAGGTCAGGCAGCTGCAAAGCAGTCTTTGTGGTAGTGCATAGCTGTCTGCTTCATCCTGCAGTTGCTGAATAACCAATGTGTTCTTCTTCCACTCCACAACAATCTCATCCGACATCTGTTCCCAGTGGTGCACCAGGGCCTCAACCAGCTAATACATCCACACTGACATCTCTTCCTTGCCCAAAGTAGCACTATCTGGAATGCGGAGGACATATAGCCAGATCTTTTACTTGATGTAGAAAGGGTGATTCTGTGTTAGGGTGTGAAAGATGCTGAGGGAAAATATTGAGTTCTTTGGAACAAAATGTGGAGCACAATTGAGGAGCCATAAGGCAGCTGCTAACTAGATGTTTGTTGGGGGAAGGCAAAGCAAAGACTGGTACACTGTCCACACCAGCATGTCAGCTGTGGCCAACACAGCTAGCACTGATTAAATGTAATGAACAAGGAAGATGCATGTTTGTGTTATGCTTGTGTGGTCACATCTTGCACTCAACCAATTGATCCAAAAATCTCCTTCAGAAAAAAACAAGGAAGGAAGCTTTGGCGAAGTCATTCCACAGTCTCATCCTCACATATGCAAGCCCTGAATGGGTAGCTGGGCCAGTGGCTGGAGTCCAGGTGAAGGGGGCAGTCCTGGAGCACAGTTCTGGAACAAATAACAGGGCCCCATCACTGCAGTGCAGAATGCATCACACCTGGCAATGTCCCACCTTGCATGTTGACCACATGTTACTCCAACAGATGGTGTGCTAAGATGGAAAGCTCTGATTAAGGAGCAGAGCATTCAAAGCTGCCCTGGGGGTGCCTCAATCATTGGCTGACCTTGAGGTCCATGCAGGGGACTATGGAGACATCATATGGGACTGGTTTGCTGGTGTGTGGCCCATATCCATAACACAAAATGTGTCAGGAAAAGAATGAACCATTACTTTCTTACCTGCCTAAGCACACCTTAAAACAGAAAACTTGATTGGTTGAACATTATAAAACCTCAGTACTT